GTGTGCTTTAATTGTGTATTAGTAGGGTTGAGATCTGTGAATGCCCTAACTTAATCAAGAGGCCAAATTTAGGTTGGGGGACCAATTATTTACCTAGAATTACTTCAGAAATTAATTGCTACTACCAATCAGCTTGGTTTTTTGGGGATTTTGTTTTTACAATGAGCAGAAAAAAATGTAAACATTGTTCTCCTTTTCTTTTCATTATAGGGTACTTTGATGCTTAAAGCGGCACTGTCATGCCGAACTTACCTTTCCTCAATCTCTTCCTCTTCTCCCCCTCTCTCAGGATCTGTTATTCTTTTCTTCCTATCTTCTTTAATTTTCTATAAAATCATAAGACAAAGAAGGGACTCTTTGCCTTATGGAGGATTCCTCCGCTTGACCAGCTCTGACCAGCGGAGGAGCAAAGTGTGCTTCATTTCCGCTGGTCAGAGCAATTTTCCAATGATCCTTACCTTCCCTCTGTGTTCCCACGATGCTTTCTGTCATTTTAGACGAAACTGCCGAATTGTGTTCTAACTGAATGAGAACAGTATGTTCGTTTCTTTTAGAACGCAATTCGGCACTTTGTTCGTATCGGAATTTCATTCTAATGAATGAAACTCTGATCCTATTCATTGCCGTGGCTGCATCTTGCAGCCGCTTAGTAGATAACTCCCTAATTCCCACGGTATCAGGAAGCTATGTACTAAAAGGCTGAAAGACCTAAATTGGTCTTTTAGCCATATTTACTAATAAGTACTTAGTATTAGTAAATAATATGCCCCTACTCGCTATATCGCGAGTAGGGGCATGTGTAGTAAGCAGTGAGCAGCTTATAGCTGCTCACTGTAAAAAAAAACCAAAAAACTAATAACCCTCCCCGCCCATGGGGGCCCTAAATAAAGATGGGGGGGACCTACTGTCCTCCCCCCCGGCCCCCACCCCTGAATGGTGGGTGGGGTCCCTAAATAAAGATAGGGGGGGACCTACTGTCCCCCGCCCCTGGCCCCCACCCCTGCGCGGTGGGTGGGGGCCCTAATAAAACAATAAGGGGGGGGACCTACTGTCCTCCCCCCCTGGCCCCCACCCCTGCGCGGTGGGTGTGGGGCCCTATTAAAATACAAGGGGGGGATCACTGTCCTCTCGGCCCCCCACCCCGCGCCGTGGGTGGGGCCTAATAAAATAAAAAGGGGGACCTACTGTCTTCTGGAGTTCTCACCTCTCATGCGGGTGGGTGGGGGCCCTAATAAAATAGTTGGGACTTACTGCTCCTTTCTGGAAGCCTCTTTACTTTGCAAGGTGGGTGGGGGCTTGGTCAAATACAGGGGGGATTTACTGCCTTTGAAGCTACTTTCGCGCGGTGGGTAAGCCTTAATAAAAACAATAAGGGGACGGTTTTTCTTCGCGCTGTGGGTGGGGGTTTCATAAACAGTTGGGGAGCCCATTGTTCTCGCCTTCTCACTGCGCTGGGGTGGGTGGGGGCTTATGTGTCAAGGGGGGACCTACGCTTCTGCCCCCCACCCCCGCTGTAAAGTGGGCTGTGGCACAGTAGTCCCCCCTTATTGTTTTATTAGGGCCCCCACCCACGCTCAGGGGTGGGGGGCCGGGGGGGAGGACAGTAGGTCCCCCCCCTTATTGTTTTATAAGGGCCCCCACCCACAGCGCAGGGGTGGGGGCCGGGGGGGAGGACAGTAGGTCCACCCCTTATTGTTTTATAAGGGTCCCCACCACCGCGCAGGGGTGGGGGCCGGGGGGGAGGACAGTAGGTCCCCCCCTTATTGTTTTATTAGGGCCCCCACCCACCGCTCAGGGGTGGGGGCCGGGGGGGAGGACAGTAGGTCCCCCCCCCCTCATTATCTTCATGGCCCCCACCCGCCGCACAGGGTGGGGGAGGGGGGGAGGACAATAGGTCCTCCCCCCCTTATTGTAATTTATGTAATTTTTTTTCAACAGTGAGCAGCCACTCCTTGTAATAACCTGCACGAACAAACATACACTGATACATAGTGTTTGTTTGTTCGGCTGATATTTCTATTCATTCATTCGTCTGTCTGATGAATGAATGAATAGATGAAATTCCCGTTCGCATGTCCAGGTGTTTCACTGGGCATGTGCGGGAATCTCACCGCGCCATCTGGGGGTGACTAGTGGGTCAATTGGATGTAGTGGAGGCGGGAGGTGGGTTAAAAAAAAAAAACGGGATTCGGCATGACAGTGCCGCTTTAAAGGACCAGTTTGGCCACCATAACAACTTCATTGTAATTACGTTGTTATGGTGCCAGGAATTCCCTGGCACTGGCTCACCTTCAAGGGTTAAGCCATTCACAAACTGTTTAACCCAAAACTCTGTTTCAGCACTGTATCTCTCTACCCTGTCTTTCCTGAGAAAAATAGTTATATTTCCTAAGCTAATTTGTGAATGGGGAGCAACCGATTGGCTGAGAATGTAAACTATTGGCAAGCAAAGAAAGAGATTAATATAATCAGGGAAACATGTTCTTTTGTTTCCTTACACTCGACTAGCAGAAGTAATGTAGCACATGGATCAGCGCAGCTAAGAGGAATAGGCCTTGACAGAGCCAGGAGGTAGGCATAGCAGCCACAGGAATTTAGTGACAGCTAGCATGCTGGGTAGGGCGGAGCCATAAGGGGAGTATTTATACCAGCCATTATATGAAGTGGCCATTTTAACTGAACCTAAGCTTACCTGTCAGTTGTGAAAGCTGCCTGCCCTGGAGGGAGAAGGCAGCAGCATGGAGGCAGCATAGTAGAACAGAGGCAGCAGGCCCGGACTGGCCATGGGGCACACCGGGCAAATGCCCGGTGGGCCGCGGTGGCCATGGGGCCGAGGCCGGCAGGGAGATCACTTGATCTCTCCTGCCGGTCTTTGCAGGGCCGGCGCTATCTGAACGCCGGCCCTGCAGTAGTCTCCAGCGGGCCGGTGGGGAGATCAGAGATCTCCCTCACCGGCCCACATGCAGGATAGTGTGGCCGCCGGGGGAGAGAGGGAGGGAGCCAGCCTGCCAGCAGAGGAACCCGGCGGAGCTTTAACTAACAGCTCCGCCGGGTTCCTCTCACGAGATTCGGAGCGTTGCCATGGCAACGCTCCGGGTCTCGCGAGAGTGAACTCTAGCCTCACAGGCTAGAGTTCACTCACCACTAAGACCACCAGGGATGGATTGCAGCCCCAGCAGCAGGATCCCCCTCCAAGGCTAAAGGTAAGCAAGGAGGGGGGAAATAATCACCTAACTAACATCAGCCTCACAGACACCCAAAACACTCACAGCACCCTCATTCACACACACACACACTGCACCCCTGACACTCACACACACACACACTGCACCCCTGACACTCACACACACACACACTGAACCCCTGACACTCACACACACACACACTGCACCCCTGACACTCACAGCACACACACACACACTGCACTGCTGACACTCACAGCACACACACACTGCACCCCTGACACTCACAGCACACACACACAAACACACACACACTGCACCGCTGACACTCACAGCACACACACACACACTGCACCACTGACACTCACACACACTCACACACACACTGCACCCCTGACACTCACAGCAGACACACACTGCACCCCTGACACTCACAGCACACACACTGCACCCCTGACACTCACAGCACACACACACACACTGCACCCCTGACACTCACAGCACCCTCACACACACACACACTGCACCCCTGACACTCACAGCACCCTCACTCACACACACACACCGCACCCCTGAGATTCACAGCACACACACACTGCACCCACACACACACACACACACTGCACCCCTGACATGCACAGCACCCTCACTCACACACACTGCACCCCTGACACAGCACACACACACTGCACCCACACACACACTCACATCACCCTCACTCACACACACACACTGCACACCTAACACTTACAGCACCCTCACACACACACACTGCACCCCTAACACTTACAGCACACACACACACTGCACCCCTGACATGCACAGCACACACTCACTGCAACTCTGACACGCACAGCACACACATACTGCACCCCTAACACTTACAGTACCCACACACACACACACACTGCACCAGCTTCCTCACACACACATAGCACCCTCACGCAAACACAGCACCCAATCACACACAGCACACACACACAGCACCCTTACCCACATAGCACCCTCACGCAAACACAGCACCCATCACTCACATACTACACACCTCAAACACACTGCACCCCTCTCGCACACACACTACACCCCTTACACACACACACAGCACCCTCACACACACTGCACAAATGCTTTCCTAGCATTTTTGTCTCCTGGTATCCCACCTATGGAGACACCAGAGACAAATTTCAAGCAAACACAGTGCAAGTATGTTATTGAATTTGCTTGCGCTGTGCAGAACAAATACAGGGTCTTTTTCTCATGCCAGAGCTCTTCAGCAGAGCTTTGCGCATGGTCTACCCTGGAAGAGCATTGAACCAACATGCTCACTTTGTGATGGGGCGTGCTTGTCATTGGTGATGACAAAACACACCCTATCTGGCCCCGCCCCCTTTGTAGTGGGCCGCTGTAATTAAAAAATGCCCGGGCCGAATTATCTTCCCAGTCCGGCCCTGAGAGGCAGCATGGCAGAACAGGCAGCATGGAGGCAGCATGGCAGAACAGGCAGCATGGAGGCAGCATGGCAGAACAGGCAGCATGGAGATACAGGAGAGGCTGGAGTGAGCTGCTGCTGCATGCTCACTCCCATCAGCCTCAGACAGAACTCCAAGCAAGCCACCATCCTGGACACAAAGGTTGTGGCAGAAATCGTGGCTGTGACTGCAGGAGCAGCTGGGGGGCCCCAAGCACGTCTGCTCCCCCCCTCCATGCGGCAATGGAACGGAGGCCGGCAAGGAGAGCGAGGCCGCCCCAGCGGCAGCCCGGGAGTGACATCGGCAGTTCGGCGGCGCAAGAGCCTGTCAGGAGGCGGCAAGGGGACAGCTGAAATCGAGGTCGGAAAGCAGGCAGGAGTTGGAGGGCGGCCGGTGAAATGGAAATCAATCAATAAATTGATTATTCTTCAGACACAGATTTCAGGTTGTTGAATAACTTGAGAAAAGTTTATTCAGAGGGGACGGCAGGTCCCTTTTAAAGCAAAATTACATCATAAGCATTGTCAGAGATAACATGAAATAATACATCAATAATTGGTTAGGTGTTAAGTGGTCTTCCTAATGCTCTGCCTACTAATGGTGATGTCACTGGAACCATGAGGGTCTCCCACGGATTCCAGCGCCATCTTGTTGCACGAGGTAGTTAGTCGGTGTTATAGGGAGGGAGGGGTTAGAAGCTTCTAGTGGCCATTTTGTCTAAATATGCGTGAATAGCTTATACACTGATTTCAGTTAAATGAGTAAATAGACATTTTACTAACTAGTCCACCACATCTTCACATGTGAGACTTGCCCGTAGAGACAGACGCTTTCCCTACGCTATCCCTACAGGAAAGCAGTTGTCTGTTTAAACTGGTGGGATTGGAGGGGTGTATGTGGTGTGTCACATTCTAGGTCAGTGACGTCCTGATGTAGGAAAGTAGGGGTTACATTGTCTATAGTCTTCCCTACTGTCTTCTGCAAGTACTTTTGTATACAAGGAAGTACACAACAGGTTAAAAATAGGAAGATCACAATCATTACGAGAACTGCTGTCCCAACCTAGAATAGGGTTCTCTGCCAACCATTCATCCATCCAAACCATCTGTCCCAGGTATCAATGACTCCTGAGTTCTTTCTTAGTTCATCAGAGAGGCTATCTAATTTCTCTATAGCCATAGTTACCTTACCATTGGGCCCAGTGTTATCTGGAATAAATGTGCAGCATGTCATGGCTTCTGGGAGGATTTTACATACGCCCCCCTTTTCTGCTAAGATCATATCCAGAGCCATTCTATTTTGAAATGTCGTTTGAGTGGTGGCTTGTAGTTGTTCTGCTAGGCCCTGTAGGGCATCCCTGGTATAGTTAACAAACCGCTGCTGATTGTAATAGATGTAGTTAATCCAATTGACATTCTTATTAACAGTAATCATTGGAATCAAAGATTCAAACCCGGCTGCCACTTCATCCCTTGCCTTGAATTCGTTGGGCACCAACCTTGGCACACCAATGGCATCAATACAAACATGTGGATCAAAGCTTCCTCAGATTGGGGCTTCCCTCCTGGCTCTGGAGTGTGTGTGTGCGGGGTTTAACGCATTGTGATAGCCATCCGGGATAATGTGGATGGGCATTATGGCTTTGGTCAAAGTACATTCTCCCCACCATAGTCCCGCCAGTTGGGATCTTAGTTGTTTATTTCCACATAGCCAATATATGTCCCCAACTGTTTTTGCATGATTCATTAATAATGCTATGGGTGGATTATGATAGGTGGAGCAATAACCAGATGGGAATTTGCCCATGAGTGTACCAGTGTTCTTAGATATTGATTAACAAGTGTAATTACCTGGGTATACCGTGACTCCGTCAGGTGGTCTAACGTGCCCCTGGATGATTGGGTAGACCTTTTTCCATGACTCACACGTTGAAGAATTAGTAGTGGATTGTGCATAGAGACTCAAGACACATAATTCAACATCGGGTGGTAGGTTTAAGGGTACCGTACCCAGGTGGGGCCTGGCTCCTCCAAATACATAACAATTAGTCTTATTGTGTGAATTAGCATTATATCTCATCCATTCCAGCCATAAGTTAGTGTCTGAGAACCCAGTTTCCACTGCCATCGTGTCTTCGAAAGTAGGATTGGCTATGGCTACCATATCATATAAAGTCTTGATATGTGGTTTCAGTGGGTTAACAGTCATGTGAGTAGTTCCTACCCAGTCAAGTGAGGTAAGCATATCTTGCAGATAGAACGTCCCCAACTTATTGTATGAGCCACCTTCCTTCCAGTACATGCCCATTACATATTCCCCCGCATCCTTTGGACTAGGATGCTCTATGTTCAGTGTGAGTTTGATGGGGGGTTGACCCGGGGTTTCCCGTCTTTGTCAATTCTATCTAGGGCAATCTGGGGCCTATAGCCCCATGGTCTACCTGTGTTCCACCCAGCCGCCTTCCATGAACTACAATGATGTCCCCAGGACCCTCCAGTCACACAAATGTATGGGTCTTTCTTACCGGGGATGTCCTTGTATATAGCAGGATATTGTGTTTGTGGGAAGGTGCAAGTAACAATATCACAGTAATCAAAAGTAAAAGTAGCTACATCTGTGTTTGAAGAATTGTACCAAAAAGTGTAGACATGGTTATCTTTGGTTATGGCCACCTGCTGGGCCCATGCAAAGTCTAGCAACATAAGGAAACACAAGAAACACAACAAATTCATAGTTCAGCAGGAACAACTTCTTCTGGAGCAGGCACTTTCTTG